AAATGAGAATGTCGTGGAAAAATTATATGTTTAATGTGAAATCAAATGAAAATGCTAAGGCAAAACAGATTGATAACTTGTGAATTAAGTAAGATGACTTGGTAAACATTAAACTATTATGGAAATGAATGATGAGATCACTTAGGAATCTTAAGCCTTATCTTATAGAATGATTTAAGCTTCTAAGGCTTACTTGCTCGACAAAGTTTACTAAGAGAGTCCCTATGCTATCTCTAATCATGGAACTTGACAGAAGTTCCCCACGACAATCCCCAACAAGAACAACGTGAGGCACTTCGAAGTGCCATTCACACTTTGATTCTTGAGCAAGTTCGAGAACATTGTGAGAAGGGGAAAGAAAAATATGAGATGATTGTAATGACATATATTTTATTGTTTTTATTAAATAAGTCATTTTCATTATTATTTTCAGTTATTTTTTGTTTACTTAAATTAATTGTATAATAATAAAGTCCATAAAATGATATAATTATTCTTAAAAGGTCCTTGTCCAAGTATTACCATATGTATGAACAACAACAATACATTTGGTGCTAATATGTAGTTGATAAATGAAAAAACGTTGTCACCGACATAGAGATGTTAGAAATGAATACATGAGTCTGCATTAGAGGAAAACATATTGGATTGACTCTCTATGAGTATGTCTCTTAGATTATTATATGTCATTCATGAAATAGCTCATGGTGATAACTTCATATATTATCCTATGACTTAAGGTCATCATTATCTCAACATATATTGTCACATGTTTTGATACAGTTAAACGTGTGTCATGACTTGTTACAATATAAAGATTGATATTGGACATTCCATAATATTTTTAGTGAGATATGGTTGTCAACAAATGATTTATCCCTCATATATAATAGAAGTAATATATCAAGCCATTGATTAAGCGAGAATAGAAACGAATGGCCAAGCTTGAATTAATATGAGGTATCATAAATGATTTGTTTGTAATAGTATGTTCTAGATATAAAAAAACATTAGATGAACTAAACAAGTATGATTATTCCATGACTTGTGTTTGATCTATATACAAATTGTTCGAATATTTACTACTAATGTTACAAGAACCTATAGAGTCACACCCTATGATTGAACCATGCAAATATTAAATGAATTATAAATGGGTAAATTTGTTTCACATGAATATAATTAAAATCAATATATAAATATTTGATTTGAATTATAATGAAAATATTATAGTTATTGTAATGTCAAATAAATATTAAAAGAAAATAATTATTATAATTATAATTCGTTTAATATGTATTTAAAAATACAATTCACATCCAAATTAGGATTACAAAGACTATAAAATGAACATAAAAGTCTAGCAGCCTTTTTTCATGCTTAATGTGAAATTTCTCTAAACAATTTAGAGAAATAAAATATTTGTTTGCAACAGGGTGAACTGAGTAAAGACAGAGACATTATCGTTACAGGTTTTGGATTCAAAATTTCGTGATCGTGATTAGATCTCCATTTACTGCATCATCAATGCAAACGAATTAATCTATTTTTTGCGTTCCTCCTCATGGATCCGATTAATCATACTTGGATCAATGGTTTGATCCCCATATAACTTTTCTATTGCGCCATAGGGTGTATCAACGATCCTAATATTCATATTAAATTCACTTTCATGATACAAATTTTGGTTAAATAATTCAATGATGATATTGTATGAGATGCATGTTTTAGTTTTCGCTTTATTAACGAATATATTATGTAAACAAATCGAATAAATCGTGATTTATTTGTTAATCCTGTTAATGTTGTTCTTACAATCAATGGTTAAATGTTGATCATGGAAACTGTTACTATTAAATTTTACTATATTGCACTGTTAATTGTTAACATGTTGATTATATGATTATGAATGTTGATCGAATTTTGGACAATATTTCAATGCGAAAAATCTTTGGGATTGAAAATCCAAAAACCATGGATCTATCGGGCCACATATGCAATAAAGGTCGTAGGAACAATTTGGTAATTTATAATAAATAAGATAAAACATGTGTATGTTATGGTTGATATGCATGTTGTTTTAGAATGCTTGGTTATAGCCCGAAAAGCTCATTTAGTTTATTTATAAAGGTTGTAATTTTAAATATGATCTACTTGTCGTGCCTCTCTTCACTTCTATTGTAAATTATCTTCTCATCTTATTCTCTTGTATGTAAAACGAGTTTCTAAAAATTATAATTATATTAAGATGTTTTGGAGAAGAGCTATGGATTGGTCAGTTAAAGAGTAAAAAGAAGCGTGTGAAGTACCTTTAACCCTTTATGTTTTTCGCTTCTCTCATTGGCTTGAGAGGAACCAACTTTGGGCTATAACTATTGCATTTATTTATTACTTTGCATGTTTGTGATATTTTGAATGTCTGAATGCATGTATAATAATAGTTAAATTGATAAGATCTATTAAAATGATAAATGGTGAGATTATAAATGAAACCACTCGATAAATTCTAAGTTAATGTAACCTTTTAATATTTACCCTCAATAAGGCCTTGATCGATATTGTGTGGGTCTTGCCAAATTAAAACATATAAATCTATATTGGTTAAATGTGATGAATGAATAAGTAATATTTCCCAGTTGAAATTTTGGTTAATAACTTAGCTAGGTTAGTCTAATAGGATTATAATCCTAGTGGTTAGTTATTTGAGTAATCATTAGATTAGAACAAAAGGTTGTTCATCAAATAGAAGAACTACATGAGATAAAATTAGCAAGTTATTGTTTACCAAAATAACTGTTCTCTTAAGAGTTAAAACCAAAGCTAACTTAGGAGAAGGTAAAATATGGATCTTCACTCATTACAAAAACTTTAGAGAAGGTTTTTCCAAAATCAAAATATGAGGGTTTTTAGTTTTGAATCAAATAGTGGGAGCTTTCTTTTAACAAAGACTTATTTATGAATTATTAAAATTAGTAACCCGCATATTTCTACCGTTGTAGATTTAATAAAAACCAACACACTATCATTGCAATCGATCCTTGAGAATGACAAATTGAATTACTTGAAATTCCTTGATTGGTGATAACTCTCTAATAGATTTATCACAGATAATATTTTTACCTAGGATGAGATTTAACTGAAGCATTACTAGGAGCATATTAGGAACATTTGAACATATTTTTGTACATTTTGCAACATGATAGTTGGTTGGGTAACTGTGAACTAAATTTGATTTTTATTGCTGAATTATGGTACATTTATGTTGTGGTTGTAGGTGATGTTATGAAGTGATGCTGGGATGATTGCTGTGAAAAGCTGACAATGAATGTTGATGTCCTAGGTGGCATTGGAATTTTTTGGAATGAGACAACTGGTTGGTCAACTATCAATTGGCCGCATTTTACTCAAAACATGGAGCAATTTTATTGGTTGCATTTCTATAATGTGACAGCCGGTTGGGCAACTGTTAATTGGTTATATTTCACTTAATACATTTTACATCTTATTGTATGCTTGTATCTATGATATTTAGAAATAAATATTTTGGGTATTGCATCAACTTCTTTCCAACATTGGTATATGTGGAATCAAGTTAGTGTATTGAGACGTATGCTGCAAATGTTATGCAATATTAATTGTTTAATTATTTGATTTAATGAAGTTTAGTTTTTGTTGATTAAATATTGTTAATCATTGCTTAACATATGAATGTAAAGTCTTTTGCATGATCGCAATAGAAGCTACCATTCATCATCTGAATCTACCTCAGTATGTTGTAGCACTACATGACACTTTAATGTTTTGAATTTTACCTTTGCTATAACTCTGTATATTGGTCACCTTAAACATTTATCTTCCCAACAACCCTATAGTGATTTAATGTTGCTCTCTGTGGGTTCGACATTCGAAAATCTTGAAGTTTTCACTTTATTAATTGATTTAAGACACATGCACTTGTGTTGAATGTTGTAACAATTTCGTAGCACCAAGTTTTTGGCACTGTTGCTGGGGAGTAATGGTTTTATATTAGAGTTGCCTTTTCATTTATTTACTTGTTTATTTTATTTTATGGGTATCTAATTCTTTTCTTATTTTAGTGTGCTCGTGTATGTCCCACAACAACGATGACAAACTAGAACCTTTTGATCCTGAATTAGAATGAACATTTCATCGCTGTTGAAGAGAAGCTAACCGAAATAGAGAAAACATTAATGTTTAAAATGGTAACAATACTTTACCACCATTGCAGCATGATGATGATAATAAATTACTTGCTAGAGATGTAATTAATCAATTGCAATATTACAACATTGATGACGGTAACTGAACAAATAGGGAACACATTGTACCAACCTTGGACGACTTGAATCCTAGTATCATTTGACCAACCATTCATGCAACCTATTTTAAGATGAAGCCGGTGATGTTTTAGATGTTGCATTTAATGAGGTAGTATAGCGGTCCATTTACTAAAGACCCAAGGGCACATCTTAGAGTAGTCATGGAAGTGTGTGACTCATTTTTACATAAAGGAGTACCTGAGGAAGCATTGAACCTGAAGTGTTACCTTACTCCCTACGTGATAAATCTAGAGCATGGCATAACTCTTTGTTTTCAGGTGCTATAGCATCATGGAATAAATTAACACAATTTTTTGTTGAGATAACCTTGGACGACTTGAATCCTGATATCATTTGACCAACCATTCATGCAACATATTTTGAGCTGAAGCCAGTGATTTTTAGATGTTGCATTTAATGAGGCAATATAGCGGTCCATTTACTAAAGATCCAAGGGCACATCTTAGAGCAGTCATGGAGGTGTGCGACTCACTTGTACATCAAGGAGTACCTGAGGAAGTATTGAACCTGAAGTGTTTCCTTACTCCCTACGTGATAAATCTAGAGCACGGCATAACTCTTTGCCGTCAGGTGCTATAGCATCATGGAATAAATTAACACAATTTTTTGTTGAGATCCAATCCGACCAATATGAATGCCAAGCTAAGGAATGAAATAGAATTCTTCAAGCAGTTGGAAGATGAGAATTTGTATGAAGCATGGGAACGCTTCAAGGATTTACTGCGTAAATGCCCGATGCATGTATTTATGCATTGTTCACAAATAAAATTGTTTTATAATGGTTTATACATAGAAACACATATGATATTTGATTCTTATACCAATGGAGCATTGTTGGACAAAACCTACAACGAAGCAGACATAATATTGTAGTAGTGGATTATAACGCCTTGAATTTAATGGCTTCACAAGTTACAACATTGACAAATATGATTAAGAAATTACAAAAACTAGGGGGTATGTATGAGGTAAAAACCAAATCTATTTTTTCATGTGTTTATTGTGGAAAAATTATAATAGGAATAAAAACATCAATGCATATAACATAAAAATGCCAATTTCCGTCTACTATGTGAAGAATGCCCACAAAACGTTGAATTTGTATACGATGTGAGAAATTACAATAGGAATGGCAACACAATGCGTATAACAACATGAAAAATGCCAACTTCCGTAATAAACACAACTTATCTTGGATAAGTTAAAATGTTGTAAATCCCAATTTGGTATTTCAATCAGATACACAACAACATTACAACCATCAATAGACGATGCCCCAACATCATCCACAATAACAAGCTGCATCGTCACAACAACGGCAGAACTATTAAGGTCAACATTCAAACCAAGCTTCATCTTTAGCATCTTTGTAAATTTGGTGGAAGGAATTCATGTCAAGAACTTCGGCAACAAATCAAATAAACGAAGCTTTAATCTCAATTCGTATCACTAAGGGAATTGTAAAATCAAGTGAAGAGTTGTTAAATGTTATGAGTAATTGATAGTAAAGAATACTACCTAGTGATACCGAGAATCTAAGCCACTAAGGAAAGCTCATTGTAAAGCCATCACTACAAGAAGAGGTATTCAAATTGGGAGGCCTACTGAGGAGCCTAAGAGGAATGATGATGAGAAGCTTGGAAAACAAAATAAGGGTAAAGAAATCGAAGTAGAATTTGAGCAACCAACTATTGATGTTATAGCAAGAGAGGCACGAAAGTGTAGTAATTCTAGGCCATTGCTAACAACAACACCAACAAATTTGTCACTTGTGGTAGTTTTAATTCCAATACAGTTGAGTTCAAGGCCTCTGCCACCATTTCCCCATAGATTTAAGAAGACTAAGAAGAACCAACATTTCAAGGCATTCATGCATGTGCTCAGGCAATTGACAATCAACATCCCGTTGATTGAAGCATTAGAGCGAAACCTAAATTACATAAAGTTCATGAGAGAGGTTCTTCTGAAGAAGCAAAGGTTTGGAGAATTTAAAACTGTTGTACTCACCAAGGGATTTAGTGCTTTGACAACAAGTCGATTACCACATAAACTCAAAGACCCAAGGAGTTTCACTATTTCTTGCATTATTAGTGATCAATTTGTAGGAAAAACACTATGTGATTTAGATTCTAGCATTAATATAATATCATTATGAATTTTTAAGAAATTTGGAAGTGGAGAAGAACAATCTACCACCGTGACTTTTCAACTTGTTAACCGATCCACCGTACATCCTAGTGAAATTATTGAAATATGATAATTAAAGTGGACAAGTTCATTTTTCTATTGATTTAATCATATTTGATTGTGAAGGTGACAAGGATGTATCGATCATACTCAGCTGACCATTCCTTGCCACCAACCGAGCTTTAATAATTATTGAAAATGAAGAACTTACTATTTGTTTGTATGATGAACACAATATTTTTAATGTTTTGAATAATGTTTCATATGTTGATGACATTGTTGAATGCTATAACATGAATGCTGTTGCAAGCAATACTATGAAAATAGAGGAGTTAATAGATATTGACGAAGTTGAGGGGAATTATATACATCACTGTGAGTCATTGGAACTACCCAACCGACTATTCAACCTCTTAAACCTTCAATTGAAGAACCACCCGCACCTGATTTCAAGCTTTTTCCCGAGTATATTAAGTACACATTTCTTGGTAGTAATGAGACCTTGCTTATTATTATTGCAACAAAGCTTGGAGCATCACAAGAGGATAAGTTTATTATTGTTCTGAAGCAGCATAAGTAGGTAATTGCTTAAAGTATTATTGATATTAAAGGCATCAGTCCAAAATTTTGTATGCACAAAATATTGGTAAAAGATCCCAAGAATAGTTTTATTGAGCGACAAAGAAGGATAAATCTGATCATGAAGGAACTGTTTAAAAAAGAAATCATCAAATGGTTAGATGCTGGAGTCATATATCCTATTTCTGACAGTAATTGGGTAAGCCATGTGGAATGCATTCTAAAGAAGGATGGAAATACTGTAGTCTCCAATGAGAAGAATGAATTAGTGCCCAACAGTACAACAACTGACTGGAGAATTTGTATGAATTATAGGAAGCTCAATAAAGCCACAAGGAAATATCATTTTCTTTTGCATTTAACGATCAAATGTTGGATTATCTTGCCGGCAAGGTTTTTTTACTATTTTCTTGAAGGGTATAGTGGATATAAACAAATAGATATAGCCCTTGAAGATAAATAGAAAACCACATTCATTTGTCCATATGGTACCTTCAACGTGGAGCTTTAACAATATTCTGGTGATGTATGACGACAATATTCTCTGACATGATTAAAGACTACTTGGAATTTTTCATGGATGATTTCCCTATTTTTGGACAATATTTTGATCAATGCCTCGTCAATTTGGTTGTTGTGTTGTAAAGATGTGAGTAAACCAATTTAGTTCTAAATTAGAAAAAATGTCATTTCATGGTAACCGAGGGAATAATGCTAGGGCATCGCGTTCCTCATCATGGCATTAAAGTAGACAAAGATAAGATAAAAGTTATTAAAAAGATGACACCTCCCACTAATGTGAAATTAGTAAGGAGTTTCCTTGGACATGCTGGCTTTTATCAAAGATTCATCAAGAACTTTTCCCAAATTACTAGACCTTTGTGTTCGTTACTAGAGAAAAATAAGAAATTTGCTATTGATGATGAAGTGCTGAAGTCCTTTGAAATAATTAAGTTAAAGTTATTCAATGCCCCTATTATAGTGGCACCAGATTGGAGTCTCCTATTTTAGAAATTGAAATGTTTGATGTTTGATGTTGAAATCTCTTTATTTTATTTGTTGTTGACTATATATCAAAATGGGTGGAATCAGTAGCATTGCCTACAAGCAATGTTAAGGTGATATTAAGGGTTATCTACAAAATTATTTTTACTCGCTTTGAAACACTCAGGGCATTCATCAGTGATGAAGGTTCCTAGTTTTTTATAAGCATCTGGCTAAGGCATTGCAAAGATATGGAGTGAAGTATCATGTTGCTAAAACATATCATCCTCAAAAAAATGGTCAAGCCAAGTTTTCTAACTGCGAGATAAAGTAAATTATGAATAAAGTTGTAAATCTTGTAATACCCCAAATATCTTATTAGTGATTATAGTGAAAGAATTTAAAATTTGGAGGATTCAATTGGATTAATAGTAAAGTAAAAGAATTGATTTAGGAAATTGTGTTTAAGACTAATTCATAAGAATAGAAGAATGAAATTTTATTTTGGTCCTTTTAGAGTGAAATATATTTAAAATTCAATTTATTATGGATATTTAAATAGGGGAAAGAAGAAGATAAGTCAAAGTGGTTCTCATTTTCTTCCCCGTAGTCTCATGCCCTCTATAGCTAAGGTTAGGGTTCTTTAACATTGGGTTTTCTTTCATTTTTGGGTTGGTTTTGAAACCTTAAGTGATATAGAGGATTAAGGAAAGTTCAAGTAGGATTGAAACTAAGAGATGAAGGTTTTATTTGATATTTAAGAAAATGAGTTTTTGGGTGATATGATGAAATATGAGTTTTTATTGATGTTTACAAGTAAATTTGACTTGTCAAAGAAGTGAATAAGAGATTAGAAGCCTTGGAAGTGATTAAAAATATGTATGAAAAAGTAGTGTGGTTCTTAGTTTGGGATGTTCTTTAGAGATATTAAATGTTACAAGAAGATTTATGGAGGATAATTAGTTGGGTTAAGTAAGAGAATTAAACGAAATTTGACTTGTCAATATTAATGGTATTATTGGAGGTAAAAGTAAGAGAATTAAACGAAATTTGGGTAAAAATCGAAATGAAAATTGAAAAATATGGGTAAGGGTATCAGTACTGGAAGAATAGTACCGATACTATAGGTTTAAATTTGAGAAAAAATGATGAACAATATCGATACTGATGCAAGTAGTACCGATACTACTGTAGGTATTAATATTGAGAGAAAGGTATCGATACTATGCATTCTAGAATGAAAAAATGGTATCAATAATGAATGGAGTATCGATACCATAGTATAGAAGTATCGATACCATAAGAGGGGTACTGATACCAGTCAGTCTAAAATGTTAAGATTGATGAAATTTAATAGAAATTGGAAATAATAGTACTTTTCATTATTATTAGAAGTATAAAAGTTAGAAATACTACTAACATTTGTATTGTATGTGTAATTATGGATGCTTGTGTAGATCAAAATCAAGCTCCTGAGTCAAGCAAGAAAAGGGCAAAGATAAAGTTGTCAATTAGTCGGACATCAGTAAGGCATCCTATTGAGGCATACCAGGTGAGTGCATTTATTTTTTACTTATATGTTATGATAGGCATAGGTTCATTATGCTTAATGTATGTATTACAATTACCGAAAGGGCACTGTGTGTGCAACCCCACGAAATTCATAATGAGTTTAACAATTTTCGTATTGGCACTATGTGCGCAACCTCACGAAATTCATAATAAGTTTATGAATTTTCTTATTGGTACTATGTGTACAACCCCACTTAATTCATAATGAGTTTGTGAATTACCGTATACGAAAACCACTGAATTTATAATAAGTTGAAATATCAATTTATATTTTGATAGATATGGTATATGTATGTTTTAAAAGAACATTTACCTCATTGTTATTACGCCTCAATAAGTGATTACCTAGTGTGTGTTGATTTCACGCGTAGGTATTAGCATGAGCAGAGTAAGGAGTGCATCTGACATCGCCAATCAAG